CAAAATGGGTTTTCTTGCCTCGCCTTTCGCCATTATTTGGGTTAAAATACAGGAGATTACAATATGGATGGTAACCAAATTTAACTCGGGTTCTCTGCATTTGCATTATGCTTATTGTGTTAATGAGTTTTCTTAAGAGTCACTTCCTGAACTCTTGTTTTTTTCCTAAATATATAATTTTTTCTAGGCAGGGCCTGCTTCGATCGGTATTCGCGCTATTCACGAAAACTCCTTTATATTTCAAATTATCCTTAGTCTACACTTATACTGAAAATAATTGAGAAAGTTTCCTTATCTGAAGAAAGCCCCACTATGAATTAGTATAGTTTCAACAGCTTTGTGCAAGTTTTAGGACTTAATGTATATTATTATCAAATTTATGCTATACTCACTCAACTTAGCAACCGTAACTATTCCTGGGATATTTTTTAGCATCCCCATTTTTCATTTTGAATATTCGGGCTTCATTTTTCTTCTCGAGTGTTCATTTGTGCATATTATCCTCAGTAAATTTTGTATCGATATATACTAATCTCCACATAGTTGTCTTCCTAAATCACCAGTTCACCAACTACTTCTAAACTTAATGTTTGTTGCTATTTATTCATATATTTTTGCTTCTATTTTAGACTTATGTTGAGCTGGAGTTAGACAGGGCCGTAAATAGTAAATTTTCGGGTCTCAGCACGACTTCTGCTGAGGTTCGCATTTTGAATTTGCTCGTATACGCGGCCACTGGAGGTCCATATACTCTGACTCCTTTATCTCGATCACATTCAATCACAGAGGTTCCAGCACAAACTTCCAGCCCTCTAGACGAGTCTGTTCCCATACCAGTTCAGTTATTGCGAGCTAAAAATCGACTTACGGGCAGACTACAAGCCGCTACTGTTGGCCTTGATCACCTCGAGCAGGAAGTCCTCCAGGGTCGACTTACCCTTGACTACTTGCAGCGGCTAGCAGGGCCTGTCACACGCAGCTTGGTCGGCCTTTCATATCTGCTATTTCTCCTTGGTCTCTTCCTTTATGATACGCAGGCGAGTCAAATAAGATTTTAAGTAAAAGATATAAGTGATCGCATAATGCAAAATTAGGGTCAATGATAATTTGTCCTGAGCATGATTCAGGCCAGTTCTCCTTTTCCGAACTTAAAAACTTTTTTAAATGTAATGTACCTTTTTTATATTGGAAAATACATACATGAATGTTGCTCGAAGGGAGAAATTTTCGCCCATTTTGTTTTTTGAGCACTCTTAAGTCGTGCATTGAATTAATGTAGCCAGTGGTTCAATAAATCCAAGTTTTTCTCATTCAAGTAAGTCTTGACTACTAAAATTAAGATTAACTAAATATTCTGGATGGAGCAATTTAAGAATTTCATTTTTCGATAACGAAGTTCAAAACTATCATAATTTTTATATCTCCCTATTTGGTTAGTTTTCAGGTACTTAAGCAAATTTTCGTGGAAACGATTTGCTTAAACTTCTATTTACCAGCTTATTAAAACTCTAATGCTTTTATAAAAAGATAATGATAGATCTTATTATTTTATAGAGTACATCCAGTAAGTTTTACTTTCATCTACGAGCCCCATCAAAAAATAGGATGATTTGCGGATTTTTGTTACCTTGCTTGTATATTTTATTTATGAAAGGAATGGCAGTGCTTCTCAAGAAAAAATCGGAAGCAGAACTTATAATTGAAAATAAATAATATAATTAATTATTGTAGTATTTGCAGTAGTCTCATATAGGAAGCTTTTGCCTACATGATCTGTCAAGGATAAATAGTGCACACCTGACGTGGTCTTTACACACCATTTTTATATCCTATAGTTTATTCAACATTATGCTAGAATGAATGAGTCTATTAACCAAGAACGCAATTTCGAAATGTTTAACTTAGTTCCCCTTTTTTCTTGTCCTATTTTTCGGCTACAAATCACCTTTTTTTCTTTAAAAAACTATAAATCCCTATATTACATTCGATTTGATTGATTACCTGAATCAAACATTTTCCTGTCTTCTAGCGCATCTTATTTGCTTGCATACACTCGTAACTTGAACTTATTAGCTAATATATTTTTTCATTAATTTTTCTGTTCCACAGGGCATTATGGTGGCGCTTGATAGCATATCCCCGTTACTACATCGTCTTGATCGAATCTACCAAGCCTGTCTTCCTGACAATGAGCTCTTCCTATCCTCGCCTTCTCCCACCGACATCACGCCACCACCCTCCTCCTTCCATCGTGTCTCTCCTCCCAAAAACTTATTTCTTAGCCTTGGGCCAGCAGTCTCCACTTTCTTTACTTCTGCTTCTGCTGGTTTGCGCGCATTCGCCGCTCTTCGTAACAGGACGCACCTCACGCTCATATGCAGTCTCCTCAATAGGCTTTGCACTGATAATGGGAGTGGTCGGAGTGGTGTCTTTAACTCAGTACCAACTAATATTAGCTCGAAATTTTCTGGAAGTCGTGGTATACCTGATTCCTCTGCTGTTGCTTTGACATTATCCGACTTCATTGACTCTCATTGGGCAAAATGTCGGCAGGTGATGCTGGTGCCCCGTTTGGAAATGGTCGCCGATATCTCAATGATACTTCCGTTAAGAACTACTATTTCCAATCCAGCTGTGTGAGCAAATTATTTAAATTATACTTACGCTCATTTGAGTCTTAGCTTGCAATTATATTATGTAGAAACGTTGACCTTTACAAATTGATCATGTTTTACTCTGTAGTCGCTAGCGATATATTACTTTATCTTGCACTAATTTAAAAGCCAAGCTTTTCTTTGAAGGATCTAGCTTTGACTCCCCTATGACTTCCTTTCAGCACGTCTTCACACCGTATAGTTTAAGCTTTTTCTGACTGTGTAGGTTTGATGAATCTGCTAGATACTTAAAAACATCATGTGGCAGTTTATATCGAATAA